ACTTCCATTAAAAAAACAATGATGAGAGGATTTTTATTTTTGCTAAGAATTAGCACCGAGTACCCAGTCATATGAAGGTTGTTGATATTGTTCTGCTCGAGAAGTGCATCTAGGACTGTTAACATAAGCTGAGCCCAAGCTGCATGTTGTGGTAATCTAACACGAAAGAAGTGTACATTTAATAATAGTTGGTAATTTATCTAAACAAGCGGCGCTAAATTGTTTGCAGTTTACATGTTTTCATGCTCAGCATCTGAAGAGCAGATCCATTTTTGAAAAGAAAGTAATACGTCCTAAACGAGTCCTAAAATGTCAAAAAAACAAAAGTCCAAAATCCCGGGGACAGGTAATATCGTACTAGGAAAATCTCATTTTGACAAATAGGACATTTAGGACTCGTTTGGGACACATTATTTGACACAATTTTTTCTGTACATTTATTCCTGAAACATGTATCGCAATTGTACAGGTTTTGTGTGGGAGACCCGCTCGCCTCCGTCTAACAGATTACAGCATCCGTTACATGTACTGTGCCGTTACCAGCAGCGACCCTTGCGGCGGGCTCGCACTCTATCACCCGATAAACTAATGCATCGAGCGTGTTTTTTTCAGACCCGATCCGTCATTAGTATTTTTCTTTTAGTCACCTGTTGGTCCAAGAAATATCATGTAATTTCTTATTGTCACCTGCGGTCCTCAAGAAATATCATGTAATACCTTATTGTCACCTGCGGTCCTGTTGGTCCAAGAAATAACATGTAGCATGGGTCCATTTCTAATCGCGACCTTAACTTTTTCACAAGCTGATCTCATGTCGACAGAGGACACGTTTGCTCCAACGACCGCGGTCTTCATCATGAAATCGTGCGGGAGTACAGGTTGCTGTGGCACCCCTGTACGATATAATGCTAAAAGCTTCCCAGCGTATTTAATGGTCTACTCAAATTGAAAAAAATGTATGTTGGTGAAGTAGTATGGATTGAAATTAGAAACACCCACCGATTTAGCAGTAAGATCAATGCAAAAGCACCCCAGCTTTACTCGACCGAATCAATAGCTCTAGTATTTGTAGAAAAGAGTCTGAAATGTCGGGTTTTCGTCAGCCCTCAGCTTTTTGTAAACGACATCGTCAGACAATTTCGAGGTGTATATCCATTAGTAAAACTTGTCTCCCCGATAGCCACTGTCGGTCAGCATCTTCGTAATTTTGCTGACGTTAAGCCTCTCTTCGTTAATGTGGTTGTTGTGGAGCGTACTGTGACGTTTGTGACCTCGTAAAAGTCGACTATGCTCACTTGGTTGATCGTGGCTGGGAGCCAAGTTTGCATTTAAACCATTGGTAATGTCTGTGGGTGATGAGAGAGCGCCGTGCGCCACAAAACCAACGCTGCCGCGATCACGAAGTCGAAGACAGCTTCATGATTGATGTAGAAAAGCAATGGCTTGGTCGCTGGATGGTGGAATGCGGAATGAAGAATGAAAGCAAATTAACACTTTCCGAAAAATTTTCTCAACGGACAATACATCTCTGGCTCGACCAATCGACGGGACTTCAATCTCAGACTGTTCGCCGTAGCTCCGAACTATTAGTTCGAGGAGGAGGGGAAGCACTTCATTTTCCTCAGCCGTTCCTATGCTATCAGCAAGACGTTAATAAGTCGTATGATATGCCGTATACTGCATCGTAGCAGGGCTTATCGATAAAATTTTAGCTGATGGGAAGCTCAAACGAATTGATGATGGTATACCGTAATCATGTAAATATACGGTACGGCACTTTTTCAATGGATGACGGTATACCGTAATCATTTAAAATACGGTACTTTTTGTAAGCTTTTGGCGAAGGCAGGCGTTATTGTGACCGACTGAAAGGTACGAAGACGAGCCTTTTGGGACCGACCGACCACCGACGTGTCCGATTGTGCCCGTCGAAGAAATTCACCCTTTCTTGTATGGGCTATATAATCCGATACGAGCACTTAGGTTTTTTGAGCGAAGACATGCTTAAGGCCGCGGTTAACCTCATGAACGAATCCAGCATTTCTGTGACGTTTCCAATGCAATGTATTTGGCAGCAACTATATAATTGAAGTTAGACTAAGTATATTGCTTCACATGCACATCTGCAAGTAGCGATAACGCTGGTACTGCAGTGCTTTCTTACGCAATTCACTGGTCCTTTCTCCACTACAGAACGTTTCGAATGCAAGCAGAACGTACACTTCACAGTTGTAGTAGTCTAGCTGAGCCCCAGCATCAGTAACATAGAGATCCACTCTGAAACGTCCTGGTGTAGTTGGTATGTGTTGCACAAGTTTGAGCGCTAGTGTTCCCATGGTGCCATCGTAGCTGCTCATGAAATCACATTACTTGATAGTTGACTTGGCTGGGCCGACCATGACACCACACCAGTGCGTGCCGTTGAAGTTCACCAGAAGCAGCATAATCGCTTAGTAATACAGCTGAACAACCGTTTTAGCACTTCGTCTGGAACGCTCACATTTCCTCTCTCCACAATACCCCATTTCACCGGGTCGCCTGTCATGACTCCCTCTTGTTGACCAAATAGCTTTGTCATTGCCTCTGTCAACGCAGTGTTACTAAGTAGTGATCTGCATCGAAAGTCAACGATCCGAATCTACAAAATATGCATACACAGTGCTGGTTGCTGCTATCGTTAGAATATGCAAAGTGCTTACCCTTTCAGAGGAAATCGGAATTGCTTCGAGACACCAACTCTGCATCTTGTTCCACCCGGAATACAGACAAAATATCCAGCGAGAAATCAATTTCTGAGATTTATTTTATGGCTCTCTTGATTTTGCTAAGCTCTTTGACTGCTTGGCGCCATAGCTTCATGGCTCTCAGTGTCCGCATCCGGATTACAAGTAATCCACTGCAAAGTCTAGCTCTGGCAATTTCTTGTGCTTCTTTTGTAGGGAAACCATATTTTCGCTCGCTCGCTGGAGTATCTCTTTAGCCAACATACGAGAAATGTCGATTGAATCCATGATAACTTTGTTAACCGGCAGCTGCGAAATCACGTAGGGTATTGGAGGGTTCATCTTCTTATCAACAAAAACAAATAGCTGATATCGGCGTAGCGGCTCCGCACATGATGCGTAGGGAGGCTCGTGTGAAAGGAGGCCCTGAATTATTTTGAGAGTCATGCCTTGATAAGTTATCTTGTGCCAATAATAGGGATACATTCCTTTTCACTTTCTTCGTCTTTGCCTTCTGCTTTGGACGGCCTCGTGGCCGTAAGAGACTTGCTATCTCAAATCCAGGTGAGTCTGCATTAATTAGTTCGGATTTAAGACTTGGGTCAGCTGCACCACCGAGTGACCCACCGATAGAGACACCGACTCCACCGACCGAGGCACCGACCCTACAGTCTCTACCGATTGAGACACCACCAGCATTTATTTTAAAATTCGATCATAACCAATCATATCGCGGAGAACAGGGGCTTTTGACGGGTTTCCGAGCATGCTACTACCACGAGTGGACGACGATACAGTCGGCGACATCAAGCTGATAATTTGACAACACAAGGCACGCAAGGGTCCTTGTTCAAAGACACTCAGACCGTTATACTCGTCCTTCCGAAGCCTGGCTGAAAAACGAAAACATTTCATCATAAAGACGCCATAGACGCGAACACAGTAAGGCCGCTGATGTTGGGTGATGGGCAGGCTGGTCAGTGCCCAGTTCGACCCAGGGACGGCATCTTGCTTTCACTCGCGATGGAACTCAGATCTAAACGCTGCGCAACAAGACGTTTCAACCAGCTAAGCGATTGTTGCATTTGAGAAACCTTCAGTGGCCAAGGAGGACACCCTTGTTATAGTGATACCCTGGAGAACTATCACTTATGAGCACGGGACAATTGGTCGGAAGGACGTAAGTTGTCGTTCACGTAGACGTGTAAGTTGACACTAATGAAACCCACTGCGAAAAGAAACAAACAGTTGTACGCGATGGACATAAGAAAACGAGCGCCCAATGAGGGGCTTAAGATCCAAGAGAGAGAAATGTTTTGCCGCATCATTTTGCGGATCACCGCACCGATTTATCGTTAAGTTTTTTTTGTATTTAACAATCTTGTAGTTCCGCAAACTATGGGAGAATAATATGAATGCAAGAAGCCAAATTAGTGTGTGGTCCGTGAGGAAGACTCGCGGCAGGTGCCGATTTTCCCGAATCTACATAATGCTGAGGTACCTCCCAGCTTAGCAGTAATAAGCACTGCCCCAAAATAACCTGTTGATTACGTTAGTATTGTACCTAGTCTTGCAAGCTGTACCCGTCAGCTATTGCGGTGAGCAGTCGAGTTCGCATGCGGGTCAACATAGATCACATTCACAATAACAACGAGAAGTTACGCGTTCGCGAATAGAATGAAATAACTGTGTATACATAATTTGTTGGTGATGGGCTAAATACTCTAATAGATAATGAAATACACATTGTGCCATCCTACTTAGACCTTTTCCCAAGCTTCTGGAAATCATTTTGCTTGAATATAATGCCCAAGTAGACTAGTTAAAAAGGTTAAGGACAAGAACTTGACAAAATCGACGTCATTGTTTGCCACCAACGATGGCGAAGTAGCGATTCAGACTGTTTGCCATAGGAATCCTGGACATTTTTAAATCTTTTGCGATCGTGCTACCAGATTTAAAAGAGAACATACACGCATGTGTCGAGCTATTAATAGTAGTATTGTAGGATATAGTCACTTACTCTAATTGAAAAGGAATTGAGTATGATTAGCGTAACTCGCAGACAAACTAATATTTTTCTTATCTGCAAATCAATCGCGAGAATCACAATTAGGTTTAAGAGTCCCACTTTTTTTCTTTTTAAACTGGCTTTTCTGATACACAACGTACAAGAAAAAATTATTACGGCTTAACATCACCATCAGGAGTTTCCAGCATGATTTTCCATTTCACTTGACAACTTCCCAGCCAGCCAACAACCCACTGCAAAGAACCATGCGACTCTTTTTCATCTTGCTGATAGCATGTGCAATTCTAAAAATCGACAGCGGCCATGCTCTGTATCCGTCTAACGATCGATACGAGGTGAATGAATCAAGCAGACTCATCCAATACTCCACCGACCAAAAGAGACATCTACGCACGTACGACGCTGGAGAAGAGAGAGGTTTCTTCAATGGTTTGTCCAAATTTTGCTTTGGGTCTCCTTCCTAGTAATCGAAAAACCAAGGCGGAATGGCTAAAAAATGCGGCGCTGTACGACGACATGCTGAAAGATGAATCCAAGGTTGCTGGTGTGTTCTCAGCATGTAAGAAACTGGGATATTCGGACAAAACAGTCATGGGTGCCCTGAAAAAACTTGGTAAGGATTCGGACGAGTACAAAATCATTGTGACCCGCTATCGTGAATACAAAAATAACCCCTACATACGTACGGATTAGAGCGAGTATGTTGGAGTACCACATGAGTAGATCAAGATGATCAATTGGAAAGCAAATAACAAACACGACACCTCGTTGATCATTTGCAAAACATCAATTTTATTGTTTCTGCGGGTAGCCTTGATTTTTCAAGTTTCCCAAACCAATCGAAAGGCAATCATTCACTGTCCTTCTCGCGCTATGAAGCTTTTTAAAACAAGAATATAGCTATTATGCGACCTCAAGGTCCAATTATGATGCTAAGTGCTTCATTAATATTACTCAAATACTGCCTTATCAAAATATGGATCTAATCTAAAATTACGAGATTGGTATCAAGAATCATTGAAAGTAAGAATGCTAAGCTTCGATTCTACAAAAAAAATGATGTCAGTTTCACAATTGGAGTACTCTAACAGACAGCAAACAAGACAAAGCTGACCGTGCGAACGAAGGCGCTCAAACTTCTAATTGTTGATATGCACCAACTCTGCACGGTTCGGCTAACCGGCGTGACGTTCCAAACTGGACCGGTCCCAAACCGGTTAATCTGGTGGATGGCCAGGAGCACTAAAGTTTAGAGGACAGATTTAATTGACTTTAATCTACTCACTTCGGCATTTGCCTTTAACAACAACAACAGGTTAACAGCCGCAAACGCTCAACTCTACTGGAACGTTCCAAAATATGACGACAACCAAGCACGCCGAAGTCCTCCTCGGGAGTGGGAACTACTTCCACTGGGAGTACAATATGCGCATGACGCTAGCCAGGAAGGGCCTGCTTGCGCATATTCAAGCCGTCAAGCCGGAGAACGAGATCACCGAGGCGTGGCTCGTCAATGATGCCAAGGCGCTCGGCATCATCGCTCAGGGAGTGGAACTCCAGCATCAGACCAAGATTCGGTCGGCCACTCGTTCCATAGAAGCTTGGGGAACGCTGCGAGAGTTCTATAACCGCACCACGCTCCACAACCGCGTGACGATGACGCGTCGCCTCCACGAGTTCAAGATGGAAAGTGGATCGACTATGGCAAAGCATCTGGATGCGTTTGATGAGCTGATCGTCGGGTTGCAGACGCTAGGAGAGCCCATGGACGAGGCACGCCAGCTGGTGGTGCTGCTGAGCAGCCTCCCCGATGAGTACGAGCTCATTTCGTCTATCGTGGAGAATGCCAAGGGTGTGACGCTCATCGAGGCCAAGGAAAAGCTGTTGAAGGAGTACGAGCGACTCGAGAAGAAGGAAACCATGGAGAAGGCGTTCCAAGTGAATGGGAACGCAGGCAAGTTCCGGAACGGCCGAGGGAACGGTCAAAAATGGAACGATCGAAAATGGAACGGTCCGAAACGGAACGTTGGTTTCAAGGGCAAGTGTTTCAACTGTGACCAAGTGGGTCACATGAAGCGGGACTGTCCTGCTGCAAAGAAGAGCAGTAAAGACGATGCAGTGTTTGCAGTTGGTGGGGAACGCTCGGCCGGGTGGCTGATTGATAGTGGTGCGACGTCGCACATGACCCCTCACCGGAACGACCTATTTGGGTACGAGGCACTAGACAGTGGCATCAACGTGACGATTGCAGATGGCAAGAAGCTGCGCGTCACAGGAACTGGAACGGTAAAGTTGACTGGTTTGGACGGTAAACGCATCCGAATGGTGGACGTGCTCCACATTCCGGGGCTCGATAGACGGTTATTGTCGGTCGAGAAGCTCGCGGAACGAGGCATGAGCGTGGAGTTCCAGCGTTCCAGTTGTGTAATTTGGGGACGGAACGCTGCGATAGCGTCAGGGAAGAAGGTCGGTTAGGCGTTCCTGCTGGACTGTCAGCAGGAGGAGGCACACTTCGTGCAATACGCCGGTCCTGACAGCGAGTGGGAGCTTTGGCACGCTCGCATGGGTCACCTCAACAAGGACGCGCTGACGAAGACTCAACGTTCCACAATTGGTATCCCACATGTGAAAAATGGGAACGAGACTTTGTGCGGTGGATGTATGAAGGGAAAGCAGACCGTGACGACGTTCCCGTCACGATCGCTAACGAGAACGACGCGTGTGTTGGAACTAGTACACACGGACGTAATGGGTCCAATGAGAACGATCTCAAAGGGTGGTGCCAAATATGTTCTGACGTTCGTAGACGACTACTCAAGGTTTGTCGTTGCGTACTTTATGAAGAGCAAGAGCGAGGTGGGCAGCAAACTGAAGGAGTTCAAAGCATTGTACGAAACCCAGTGGGGGGAACGTCTAAAATGTCTTCGTTCCGATAATGGAACGGAGTTCGTGAACAAGACAGTTTTGGAACTATGCAAACGGAACGGTATCGTGCATCAGCGTAGCGTTCCATACAGCCCTCAGCAGAATGGAGTGGCGGAACGCATGAACCGTACCATCATGAAGAAGGCAAGAAGCATGCTGCACTACAAGTCTATGTCGACGCAGTGGTGGGCGGAAGCGGTTAGTACTGCAGTGTATCTCATCAACCGTTCCACGAACACATCAAACTCTGATGTCACGCCGTACGAGCTGTCGTTCCAGGTGAAGCCACGGATGGAACACCTACGTGTTTTTGGGTCACAAGGGTACGCTCATGTGGACGACGTGATGAGAACGAAGCTGGAACCCAAGAGCTTCAAGTGCACGTTCCTCGGGTACGCTGAGAACGTGAAAGGATATCGTGTGTACGACATGGATGCGTCGAAGGTCAAGGTGACACGGTCGGTCAAGCTGGACGAGCGTGAGATGGGCGGAATCTATGACACGCAGTCGCCAGCTTCAGGAACGGTCATCCATGTGACGAGGAACGATGATACGATCGTTCCAATATCGGGAGTGGAACGTAAGCCTGCTCAGGATGAACCGATGGAAGAAGCAGAGGAGCCTGCTCAAGACATTGAGATGGACGACCTTGAACCGGAACGGAACGCAGAAATACAGCAGCTACCCGCGCCGGAGGAGCCCAGGTTAAATGGGTTGGATTTGGCAACGTTCCATTCGCAGCCTCCATCGTTCCATGAGGACCGGATGATCTTCCATCCTGAAACGGAACGATCTACGCGCCCTCGTGAGCCATTACTTCTACTTGGGAATGGTGACGATGAAGATGTGGAGCGTGGAAGTGATGGACCGTCATCTCCTAAGCGTGCCAGAATCGACGAAGATGGTTTGCTCGCAGAGGCAGTGTTGGCGTACGCGGCCAGCATTGGTGGCGTTCCAGATACGCCTAACACGTACGCAAAAGCTATTGCCAGTAACGAAGCAGGAGAGTGGCGTCGTGCTATGCAGTCAGAGCTGAATTCGCATTCCCGGAACGGAACATGGACGCTCGTTCCACGTGGAACGACAACTCGTTCCATTGGATGTCGCTGGGTGTTCACGAAGAAGCGTGACGAGAACGGCCGGGTTATCCGTTACAAGGCACGCCTAGTGGCGCAGGGGTTCAAGCAGAAGTTTGGAATAGACTTCTTTGAGACGTACTCTCCAGTTGCGAATATGAACTCGATTCGAGTTGTACTCGCTGTTTGCGTTACGTGCGGCTACATTATGGAGCAACTGGATGCCGACACAGCGTTCCTAAACAGTAATTTAAAGGATTTGGTCCACATGGACGTTCCATTTGGCCTCGAGAATGCTGAAGGCATGAAGTGCAAGCTGCTAAAGGCCATCTACGGCTTGAAGCAAGCTGCAAGTGCATGGAACAAGACTATTCATCGCGTGTTCCTGCAGAATGGTTTCAAATGTTGCGGAGCCGACCAGTGTGTCTACGTCAAGCGTTCCAAAAACGCATTCGTGTACTATGTCTATATGTGGACGACATGATCATTGCGGCCAAGACGCGCGACAAAATTCGGGAGGTCAAAAACGCCCTGAAGAGCGCATTTAAGATGAAGAAGCTTGGCGAGGCCAAATTCATTTTGGGAATGGAGATTGACCACGATAGAGAATGTGGAACGTTGATGATCAAGCAAACTCGGTACATTGACGACATTGTGGAACGATTCAATCAACGGAACGCCAAGATGGTGGAGAACCCTTGTGCAGCAAGCCTGAAGTTATCCAAGATGATGTCGCCGACTACGGAAAAGGAACGTGCCGAAATGCGGTCACGACCGTATCGTTCGTTAATCGGGTGCCTCATGTACATCACAACCTGTACTCGGCCGGACATTGCCTACGTTGTCACGCAGCTGGCACGCTTCCTAGAGGATCCTGGAACGCAACACTGGAAGGCAGCGATTCGTGTTCTGCAGTATTTGAAGTCCACTCGCCATCATGGTATCGTTTACAAAAGTGGAACGAGTGGATTTGGAACGCAAGCTGTCAAGGCAGAAGCGTTTACGGACGCAGACTGGGGAAGCAACATTGACGACAGACGTTCAGTGTCTGGCGTCATGATCATGATTGGGAACGCTCCGGTGGTGTTTAAGTCCAAGTACCAGAGGACGGTTGCACTTAGCTCAGCGGAAGCAGAGTACATGGCACTAAGCCTTTGTACTCAAGAGGTACTATGGACACGTGCCATGCTGAAGGACATGGGTCACGAGCAAGTGGGAGCGACGCAGGTCTGGGAAGACAATCAAGGTGCTATTGCACTTGCAAGCAACGCTGGATATCACGCGAGGACCAAGCACGTGGATATCCGTCACCACTTTATTCGAGAGAATGTGGAACGTTCCACAATCAAGGTGGCCTACATCGACACGAAGCAGCAGTTAGCTGACATGCTTACGAAAGCACTGGGAACGAAGTCGCTAGCGTTCCTTCGCGAAGCAAGTGGAATCAAGAAGAGGAACGACGT